TGTATTCTACAACTGAGTTTCAGTTCTAGTCTTTTTGATAGATTCTCTAGGTTTTTTTTTTTTTTTTAATAGAATCATATCTGTGCAAATAGGAATAATTTGACTTTGTCCCTTCCTATTTGTATGCCTTTTCTTTCTTTCTCTTGCCTAACTGCTCTGGCTAACACTTCTGGAGTGCACTGAATGAGAGCAGTGAGAGTTGCATATCCTTGTCTGATTCCAGATCTTAGAGGAAATGCTTTGGCTTCCCCCGTTGAATATGATCTTTTCTGTGGGTTTGTCATATATGGCCTTTGATTATGTTGATGTATGACTCTTTTAGACCTAATTTGTTCAGGGTTTTTATCATGAAAGGAGGTTGGATTTTTTTCAGCTTTTTCTGTAGCTATTGAGATGATGCCAAAGCTTTTATCCTTAATTCTGTTGATATGATGGATTATGTTATTGATTTGTATATGTTGAAATATCCCTGTGTCCCCAGGGTAAATCCCACAGGATCATGGTGAATAATCTTTTTGATGTGCTGTTGGATTTGATTTACTAAGACTTCACTGAAAACGTTCATATATGTGTTCATCAGGGATACTGGTCTGCCGTTGTCTTTGATGTTTATCTCTTTTAAAAATCCTATGTGTGGACCCCAAAGAGTTGGGGGGGGAATTAAAAGATAAATTTATTTTGGTGCAGCAATTTTAAATCTATGCATAGTCTTTTCATAATACATTTTTATAAGCTTTTTAAAGATCGCTTATGTTTCCAAATACAATCATATTCTGAGATATTGGGGTTAGGACCTCAACCTCTGAATTTGAGGAAAGCACAATTCAGCCCATAATACAAATTAAAAATAACAATGAAATCTAGAATATTCCTTAGTACAAACTGCACATGTAGCTAGTTGATTCTCACAGAATCCTTTCACTGTTTGCGAGCCTGCTGTCCCTAGCCAATCCATGGTATGGTGCTGACATGAATTTTGGTTGATACTTTTGTTTATCTGAAGGAGTAATAAGGCTGTGAAACAAGATGTACGCCACAATTTCACTGATTCCATACGTGAGCAACTCTTGCTGACTCAGATGGCCGTCTGAGTGCTGGAATATTTCCTCATCTTTCTGTGCTGTTCATAGCGTAGTTACAGATCCTGCACTTCCTTCATGCTACATGTACATTCTTCACCATTTCTCCATCATGACTTTAAGTCTAGAAGGCCAACAAATGAATCGAGTGGTTGGGAACCTCCTTGGTGGTGCCTTCCCACTGTGGCTGCCTGCTGGGGGGAAGTTAGAAGGCCCTGGGCAGTAGCATACCATAACGCTGACCATAGAGACCCAGGGACATAATAGCTGCAAGGGCACTGATAATAGTTTATCATACTACGCCGGCGCCGCAGCTCACTAGGCTAATCCTCCGCCTTGCGGCGCCGGCACACCGGGTTCTAGTCCTGGTCGGAGCACCGGATTCTGTCCCGGTTGCCCCTCTTCCAGGCCAGCTCTCTGCTGTGGCCAGGGAGTGCAGTGGAGGATGGCCCAAGTGCTTGGGCCCTGCACCCCATGGGAGACCAGGATAAGTACCTGGCTCCTGCCATCGGATCAGCGTGATGCACCGGCCGCAGCGGCCATTGGAGGGTGAACCAACGGCAAAGGAAGACCTTTCTCTCTGTCTTTCTCTCTCTCATTGTCCACTCTGCCTGTCAAAAAAAAAAAAATAGTTTATCATACTACTAGATTTTACTATTTTTTGAATATTACTTTTGTCCTTAATTGTAGATATGTATGACTTAGCCATTAACGATAACTGTTGAACAATTGGCTTGACAATCTTAACAACTGGCTCTCTCATGTCAGCACAGACCAGCTGTTGCACACTGCTAGGCCTAGGAATCAGACTTGTAAAAAATTTTGCCATCAATGTTTAGAATTGAGAAAACACAAGTGAGTACACTTGTCGAGAAAGGTGACGTGACTTGGGCAAGGTCACACAGTTGCTGGCTCAGACTGCATGAGACCCCAGGCCTCGGGACAGCCTATCTAACACCATATGGACAGTTCCACATGTTGTTGGAAAAACCTGACCAGGTTACAAGGAAAGTGTAAGAAAGAAAGGAGCAGAGTGCTGCTAAGAGGAAGGTTCCAGGGGCCAAGTCTAGAGGGAAGGAGAGAGAGGCCCGATCATCAGCACAGGGCGTCACGGATGGGTTTGTCTAGGAGTTGGAAATAGGTGAGTGTTAAGGAAGAAGACAGCTAACGCTGTAGTGGTCCAGGAGGAAGACAACTGAAGGGGAGAAAACTCGTTAATCAGGAAGCTGGATGTCAGCCATCTTAGTTTTGTGCGTAAGAGATTTACTGAATATGTATTTCCACAGATGACGGAGTTTGCAACAGTAACAAAACCGGAAGCAAAGGCACCAGAACACTGGAACACGTGCATGAAGGCTTGGGCAGAAAATAGGGGCAAAAAAATATATATAGCACTTCAAAATGGTGGTAGAAAAAAAGGAATTAAGAGACAAGTTGATTTTGGTGCAAAAAAAAAAAAATGAAACCTAGGTATGGTTTTTATCATATGCATTTGCCATGAACTTTTTGAAGATTCTGCTATGCATGGATTTCAAAGAAATTCTTCTTACCAGAACCAGCTTATGTTCTAATTCTGTTGTACACAAAATTGAGTCAGCCTCCTAAGTCCCCAAGACCTGAGAGGGCGGCAGAATCAAAGCACCCGAGAGTGTTGGGTGGATTTTGTTCCCAGTAAGGCAGTGGGTGTGTTATCTACTGGAAAACCAGTGGTCAGAGGATGGTAGAAAGGGCAATAGGAGGTCTTGTTTTAGAATTAGCACTCCTGCAGTATTCTTCCCCACATTGAACCCACCTGACTGCTGCCAGAATGAGTCTGATGAGCAGTCTCTGGCCTGTTCTGGAAGGCCCAACATCCCTGCAGGGGTTTCAGGGGCCCTCTCTCCGCCTCATTCCTCAGCCCCCTGCCCGTTATCCCAGGACCTGAGAGCCTATGCCCCTTACCAGCACTGGGCTTTGGGATTGGAAATGGCACTTTAAAATGTCCTAGTAAATGCAGTGTGTAAGTTAAAAGGTACACAGGGGAAACAAATGCCTGTGTTCTCATCACCCAGCTTGAAAGTAAGTTCAGCCCCTAGGCTGAGTGGGAGGTTTCCTTCCAAACTTCTGTTTCTCAACATACTGCAGGCCTATAGCAAACGAGAACCTTCATGAGCACGTATGGCTTAGCTGCTGTGTGGCATCTCCTTGCAGTGCTGGGGTGGTTCTTTTTTTTAATTTCTGTGTGGCCCCTCTATGTTGATACATATCGCTCTACATATTGCTGGTGTGTGTTGCCCTTGTTGGTCCTTCTAGCCAATGACCTAATGTGCAGACTCCACTGTCAGGATTGGAGCCCATGTCCTCTATCTCTGCCACTCACTGCAGGCAGGACACTTGACATCTCTGTAGCTCAGTTTCCTCATTGATAGAGGTGATAATGACTGTTAGCCATATCTGAGGCTGGGGGGCTGGGGGCTGCAAGGGACGGCTCCCGCCCAGGGCTGGCATCGGAGCCTGCCCTGTAGAAGTACTCACGGAGCACTGACTCTGATTCTTTGATCCGCATGGCAGTCAGGAAAACAATAATGAGAACCAAGGTCAGAACCACACGCTGTGCTTCAGAAATCTCGGGCAAAATGTCAAGGCCACAGTGCCACGTATTTTCTGGTACATTAGAATGAAATCGGTTAAAACAATCTCACTTATGCCTATCACATAACTCCCTTTTGAAATAGCTTGGAAATTTTTAACTTAAAGAAGGAACATGATTGGTGCGTGACCATGGTAACTTGTACAGCTTTTGCTCGGTGGTGACGCACAAGGACAGTAAGTGACACCACCTCGCCACCAGAAATACACACGAGTCATTGCACCTTCTGGATTCTCTTGGCTCACTTAGTAGGCCAGAGCTTGTGCGAATGTTCCCTATCAGTATCATAATATCATAATATCAGCAAAACATAATCAATTCCAACATGTGACTTAAAGAAGGGTATTGAATCAAATGGATTTCTGTTTAACCCCCCATTTTATTAAATACTAGGACATTAATCCAGTGGAAAATGGTAAATAATTGCTTGAGTTCATATGCCGCTGTGAACTACTATTAGATCAAACTTTGATTTACCTCGATGGTATATACTACATGACCAATATGAGCAATTTGGTATATATTGCATGAGTAAGTGCTCTTCAACACAAAATAAACTAGTCATGCACTCGAAATGGAAATGGAAACTGCCACGTCAGTCGATCTGGCTTTGGAAAGAGTGAGTGTTTACATCTCCTTGTGAGTGGTTTCCCATTAGCATCAACAATGAATCTTTCTCCTGAAGGAGAGGTTGCCCCACTGAAAACAAATCCGACTTCCTGCCCACTGCATACAGGAAAGCTGGATGTGCCCTTAGTTGGAAGAATAATGTTGGAAAAGTAACAAAACAAACCGGGGCCGCACGGAGGCCTCCATCTCGCATGCAGAAGGTGGCCTACAGTCTCGCTTCTTCCTGCTCAAGCCAGCACATTTAGCAAGCACGCCTTAGAATTCCCCATCCAGCACGCATGGCAAAAGTTTTCCCTGCATAATGAAGCAACTCATTACCGAAGGCAGACTAAATGTTTAGAAACAGAAATAAACCAAGGTAGCTCCTACAGCAGTGAAATGTTACCCGTGTCAGCAATGCTAAACAGCATTGCACAATTTACAAACAGTTCTCATCTTTTAAGACATTGGTCCACAAAGATTGCTTCCAGCTAAACGGACAGATCTGCAGTCAAAATTCCTCCCCCGCCCCAGATTGCTGGCGTACTTTGTAAACTAAGGCACGTCTTGTCTTCCCTGTTTGGTTCTGTGTTTTTTAATTCGGCAAAATCTAACACGTTTCAAGCATGAACCTCGGCCCGCCTTGTGTCCACCTACCCAATGGGCCAGAGAAACCCACTTACTTCTTAAAGCGTATTCTTTGGGCTTCATTGAATTCAGATCAGAAAGGAATTCATCAGTATCTTGCATGCACTTGAGAGAAATGTTTCTTGCAGGAAAACCGAAAGGGAATTGAAACTGGAAAGAGAGCAGGCCAAGTAGTAAAGCCAGGTCCCTCATTGCCTCTGAAGCCGCTGGGATAAACCACCCTTCAAAGACGAAGGCCCTTATATTCAGGAAGCACTTGTCTGTGACATGTTGGAGGCAGATGTGACATTGCTCACTTTTTAACAGGCAGAGCGACAAGCTCCATCTCCGAGCCACCTGCAAAGCGGCGGTGCTGGGCAAACCATGGAAACCGATTGATGCACAATTTGTAATTGCTGAATAAATGGCGCCGTGGCTGTGGGCACCGCTGAGCACCTGGCTCCTTTAGTTATGCAGATTACCGTCTCCAGCTACCGTGAAAGCGGCTGGGTGTCCTCTGCTTAGATGGTCTGCTGGGTTGGAAAAACGTTGTGACGGTGTTAAGTGGCAGTGTTTGCTTTTTGTCCAAGAGCAATGATGAATCCAATGGATAAATCATGAGGAATCTTCAAAAAGTTCATGGAAAATACATGCAATAAATGGGAATTTCAACATGTTTTCGCCTTTAAGATCAGTTTACCTTTTAATTCAACTTTTTTATGAACCTATTTCCTTTTTAGGAGAGGCAAATTCACTCTTCTAAACTCTAAATCATTTATAGGAATACAGACAGATAGAGGCACTTCAGATACTATTGGGAAGCCATCAAGAAACACATTAGGGGCCGGCGCCGCGGCTCACTAGGCTAATCCTCCACCTAGCGGCGCCGGCACACCGGGTTCTAGTCCCAGTTGGGGCGCCGGATTCTGTCCCGGTTGCCCCTCTTCCAGGCCAGCTCTCTGCTGTGGCCAGGGAGTGCAGTGGAGGATGGCCCAAGTGCTTGGGCCCTGCACCCCATGGGAGACCAGGAAAAGCACCTGGCTCCTGGCTTCAGATCAGCACGGTACGCCGGCCGCAGCGCGCCGGCCATTGGAGGGTGAACCAACGGCAAAAGAAGACCTTTCTCTCTGTCTTTCTCTCTCTCACTGTGCACTCTGCCTGTCAAAAAAAAAAAAAAAAAAAAAAAAAAAAAAAAAAAAAAAAAAAAAAAAAGAAAGAAAGAAACACATTAGGGTCCACAACTAAGAAAAATTGATTTTTTGAATAACATATTTTATCACATGGAAAGAAAACTCTTATTGGAAAGGCCAATGAATCCTTCACTGTCATCCTAGCCTTGTTCTAAGTCATAAAATACAACACTTAAATGAAATTCTTTTCTAAAGAGTCAAAACCTACTTTTGCTAGCTTTGTGATTCATTTCCCTGAGTATTAAAGAGTTCAGTACAAACATTTTTAATAACAGTGTCATGTTACCTAGTACATGAACATGTTTTACATTCTCCCCTCCTGGATATGGTTACTCCTAATACATGAGTGTTTAGTCTTTGAGAATTTTCTAAATAAATACTAAAGTCTAAAGGTGAGCATGTTGGTGTACACACATTTTTTTGTTATTTTTTAAATTATATAGGGAACAGATTTCATGAATTTTTCCCCAGAAGCCTTTTATTTAAGGGAGGCAAACTTCATACATTTCATAATATAACTTTAGGGACGCCATACCCTCCCTCCAAGCCATGCTCCCAATCCTCTTCCTCATCCCTCTCCTATTCCCATTCTTATTTATTGAGATCTATTTTCAATTAACTTTATACACATATGATTATACTAAGTAAAGAGCTCAACAATATAAAAAAGTTACTCAACAGTCAAGACAAGGGCTGTTCAAAATCATCACATCTCAAAGTGTCAATTTCACTTCTATAGATTGCCTTTTAGAGCTCTTAGTTATCACAGACCAGAAAGAACATGTAGTATTTGTCCTTTGGGACGGCCTTATTTTACTAAGTATGATGTTTTCCATATTCATCCACTTTGTTGCAAATGACCAGATTTCATTTCTTGGTTTTTGTTTTTTTTGTTTTGTTTTGTTTTGTTTTGTTTTGTTTGTTCTTGTCTTCCTGCTTTTTACCACTGTGTAGTATTCCATGGTGTACATATCCCATAAATTCTTTATCTAGTCATCAATTGATGGGCATTTAGATTGAGTTCATATCTTAGCTATTGTGAATTGAGCTGTAATAACCATGGGGGTGCAGATAACTCTTTTATTTGCTGATTTCATTTCCCTTGGGTAAATTCCCAGGAGTGGGATAGCTGGGTCATATGGCAGGTCTATATTCAGATTTTTGAGGTATCCCATACTGTCATCCATAGTGGTTTTACCAGTTTATATTCCCACCAACAGTGGATTAGGGGATCTTTTTCTCCACATCCTCACCAGCATTTGTTGTTGATTTCTGTATGAAAGCATTCTAACTGGGGTGAGATGAACCCTCATTGTGGTCTTGATTTGCATTTCCCTGATGGCTAGTGATCCTATAGATTTTTTTCATGTGTCTGTTGGCCATTTGGATTTCCTCATTTGAAAAATGTCTAAGTCCCTGGCCCATTTCTTAACTGGGTGGTTTGTTTTGTTGTGGAGTTTCTTGAGCTCTTTACATATCGTGGCCATCAATTCTTTATCAGTTGCATAGCTTGCAAATAATTTCTCCCATTCTGTTGGTTGCCTCTTCACCTTGCTGAGTGTTTCTTTGGCTGTCCAGAATCTGCTCAATTTGATGTAATCCCACTTGTAAATGTTGGCTTTGATTGCCTGTGCCTCTGAGTCTTGACCAAGTACGCTGACTATGCCAATGTCTTGAGGGTTTCCCTGATGTTCTCTAATGATTTGATGGTTTGAGGTCATAGGTATAGTTCTTTAATCCATTTTGAACTGATTTTTGTGAAAGGTGTAAGGTAGGGGGTCCTGCTTCATACTCCTGCATGTGGAAATGTAGCTTTCTCAGCACCATTTGTTGAATAGAGTCCTTGCTCCAAGGATTGATTTTAGCTCCTTTGTCAAACATAAGTTGGTTACAGATGCTTGGATTGATTTCTGGCATTTCTATTCTGTTCCATTGGTCTATCCATCTGTTTTTGTTCCTGTACCAGGCTGTTTTGATTATAACTGCCTTGTAGTAGGTCTTAATATTTGGTATTGTTATGCCTCCAGCTTTGCTTTTGTGATATAAGATTGCTTGAACTGTTTGAAGTCTCCTGTATTTCTGTATGAATTTCGTCGTCATTTTTTCTATACCTGAGAAGAATGTCTTTGGTATTTTGATTGATATTGCATTGAATCTTTAAATGGCTTTTGGTAGTATGGACATTTTGATGATAATGACTCTTCCAATCCACGAACATGGAAGACTTTTTATTTGTATCTTCTATTTCTTTAGTGTTTTGTAATTTTCATTGTAGAGATCTTTGACATCCATGTTTAAATTTATTCCAAGGTATTTGATTTTTTTTGGTAGCTACTGGAAATGGGATTGATCTTAGAAGTTCTTTCTCAGCTGTGGCATTGTCTGTGTATAAAAAGGCTGTTTATTTTTGTGTGTTGATTTTGTATCCTGCTACTTTATTTACCAAACTCTGAGTTCCAGTAGTCTCTTAGTGGAGGCTTTCGATCCTCTACATATAGAATCGTGTCATCTGAAAATAGGGATAGTTTGACTTCCTCCTTCCCAGTTTGTATCCCTTTTATTTCATTTGCTTTCCTGATGACTCTGGCTAAAACTTCCAGGATTATATTGAATAGCAGTGGTCAGAGTGGGCATGCTTGTCTAGTTCTGGGTCATAGTGGGAGTGCTTCCAACTTCTCTCCATTCAGTAGGAAGCTGGCTGTGGGTTTGTCATAAATTGCCTTGATTGTGTTGAGGAATGTTCCTTCTATACCAAATTTGCTTTGTTTTTTATCATGAAAAAGTGTTTCATCAAATGCTTTCTCTGCGTCTGTTGAGATAATCATATGGTTTTTGTTCTTCAGGTTTTTTTTTTTTATAGAGAATGTACTTTTTTAAAAAAAAAAAAGATTTTATTTATTTGAGAGGTAGAATTATAGACCATGAGAGGGAGAGACAGAAAAATCTTCCTTCCATTGGTTCACTCCCCAAATGGCCGCAAAGGCCAGAGCTGCGCCAATCCAAAGCCAGGAGCCAGGAGCTTCCTCCAGGTCTCCCATGTGGGTACAGGGTCCCAAGGACTTGGGCCATATTCTGCTTTCCCAGGCCGCAGCAGAGAGCTGGATTGGAAGAGGAGCAGCCGGGACTCAAACCGGCACCCATATGGGATGCCGGCACCACAGACGGAGGATTAACCCACTGTGTCATGGCGTCGGCCCCTAGTTTTCATTTGTTAATGTGATGTATCACACTGACTTCGTGAACGTTGAAGCAGCCCTGCATACCAGGGATAAATCCCACTTGATCTGGGTGGATGATGTTTCTGATGTGTTGTTGGATTCGATTGGCTCGAATTTTCTTGAGGATTTTTGCGTTTATGTTCATCAGGGAAATTGGTCTGTAGTTCTCTCTCTGTGTCTTTTCCAGATTTAGGAATTAAGGTGATACTGGCTTCATGGAAAGAATTTGGGAGGATTTCCTCCCTTTCAATTGTTTTGAATAACTTGAAGAATTGGAGTTAGTTCTCTAAATGTCGGGTAGAATTCAGCAGTGAAGCCATCTAGTCCAGGGCTTTTCTGTTGGTGTAGTCTCATGCTCCCCTCTTCTCAAAGGAAACCAGTGCCTGGGCGCTAGCCCCAGCGGGTACATCATTCATCCGTGGTGCTGCAAGAACCACACAAAGGATCCATGTAGTCCTTGGTGTAAGCACAGTTCCCTCAGCAGTGACCTTCACCAGGGAGTCAGGGAGCCCTGGGCATGTGGAGCTGCCCACAGTGACTGCCCAAAGCCCCAGCCACACCCTGTGCCCTCCCACGCAGCCACAGTGTTTTCACTGTCAGGAGCTCCCAGCCCCCCGTCAGTTCTCCCTGCCAGGCTCGGGCATCTCCTCGGAGCTGGTTGCTGGTGTGGTTGTTACATATGTCCAAATGGCGCCTGCCTCGCTCTGCTTGTTATAGGACACAGGTGCAGGCTGCTTGGGGGAGAGAAACGTGCCCCCATTGTTCCTCCTCCAGGTTGGCAGGTACACTGTCCCCTACAGGGCTC